AAAAAAAATTTCTAAAAATGGGTGATGTGTTTAGATGGAAATGAAACAATTTGTCACGGTCTAACAAGACTTTTAGAAAAGATATTTTAATTACTAATGGGACATTCACATGTTTTTCAGCAAGGTGAAAAAATTATTCAGGAGTTCCTGTCCAAAGTGAAACAAATGCCCTTTACTGAAATGTCAGAAGAAAACATCACAATAAAGTTAAAACAGCTAAAAGCTGAAGTAATAGCAAAGAATAATAGCTTTGTAAATGAAATCATTTCACGAATAAAAGTTACTACGTGAAAAATCCCAGTAATGGAATGAAGGTAATATTGATAAGCTAATTGTCTGTGATACTTTTATATTGTTTTGTATTAATTCTTTTTCCATAGTGTTAACTGTCAGTGCCCATGGGCTATCAACTTAATAAGATATTTAGTAATATTTGTCTCTGAGGACATTTTCAAAGATCTTTATTTTGAAAAATGAGAGCTGTAACTGAGGACTGTTTGCAATTGACATAGGCAATAATAAGTGATGTGCTGAATTTTATAAATAAAATCATGTAGTTTGTGGAATTTGAGATGCATTGTAGTTCTTTGCAGTGTGACTTCTATACACATTTGTTCCCAAATATGTTGGAAGAAACAAATAGTCCAGAGACCTTGTAAAAGATCTTAAACTGGAGGGCTCCATGGAGATCTTTGCCAGTGACTCCCCCAGAGTGTCCATCTGTTGGCAGGAGCCAGGTTGGCTGCATACGCATTAGCTAAGGAGCTTATTATACATCCAGAGTCCTACAGTGAGCCTCCATCCTGTCTGCCATTCTCCCATCCCTGGTCTATGATAAGACTTAGAAATCTGCATTTTAACAAAACCTTTCAGGTTGAGAACCCTGATTTAGTCTACTTCTTCTGTTTTACAATAAAGAGATGAAGGGGTTAAGAATTAGCAGCTAATCCTACGCAATGTGAGGGAAAAAGGACAGTCCTTTTAATAAATGCAGTGGACTGGTGGTGTATCCATATAGGAAGAAATGAAATTGGACCCCTAATTCATGTCATATATAAAAATCACCTCCACTCTGGGAGGCCAAGGCAGGCAATCACTTGAGCTTAGGAGATCAAGACCATCCTGGACAACATGACAAAACCCCATCTCTACAAGAAAATGCAAAAATTAGCCAGGCATAGTGGTACGTGCCTGTAGTCCCAGCCACTCAGACAGCTGTGGTGGGAGGATCACCTGAGCTGGGAGAGGTTGAGGTTGCAATGAGCTGTGATCATTCCACTGCACACCATCCTGGGCAATACAGCGATACTGTGTCTCAAACAAAACAAAACCAAAAAAAACACCTTCAGTGATTTTTAGACCAAATGTACAAGGTAACAGTATCAAGGTTTTAGTGTTTTATAGTTCTTCAGAAGATAACGTAGGAAAATATTTTTATGTCCTTGACTTTGGGAAGAATTTAAGTCACAGAAAAACACCATCCATAAAGTTTGACTTATTTAGCTAATTGAAATTAACAACTTCTATTAAAAAGCACCACAAGTGAAAAGACATGATTCATAATGGAAGAACATACTGGTACCATATAAAATATCAAAGAGCTGGGCATGGTGTCCCATGCTTGTAGTCCCAGGAGGCTGAGGCAGGAGGATCACCTGAGCCCAGCAGTTCAAGTCCAGCCTGGGCAATATAGCAAGACTGCCTTTCTTTTCTTCTTTTTTTTAATACCTGGATTAAAGAACTCCTATGAAAACACTAAGAAAAGGGGTCACTTAAGAATCTCATTAACAAAAAGAGTCTGAATATTTTTCCATGGAAGATATGCAAATGGACAGTAAGCACATGAAAAGATGCAGATCAGGGAAATGCAAGTTGAAACCACAATGAGCTACAACTTCACACTGATTACGATAGTTAAAATCAAAAAGTCAGATGGTAAGTACTGGCAAGGAAGTGGAGAAATTGAAACTCTCATGCACTGTTGGTGGGAATGTAAAATGGTGCAGCTGCTTTGGAAAACAGTCTGGCAGTTCCTCAGACAATTCCACTCCAACGTATATCCAAGTGGAATCAAAACATATGTCCCCACAAAACTTGTACACAAATGTTTATAGCAGGATTATTCGTAATAGCCAAAAGGTGGAAACAACCCGAATGTCCATCAGCAGATGAATGCATAAACAAAACACGGTCTATCCATACAACGGAGTCTATTATTGAGTCATTAAAGGAATGAAGTACTGCTACATGGTACAGCTTAGATAAACCTTGAAAACATTGTGCTAAATGAAAGAAGCTGGTTACAAGAGTCTACACATATGATTTCATTCATGTGAAAGTTCAGAATAGAGACAGCAGTAGAGACAAAGTAGCAGTTGTTCAGGGTTGGTGCCAGGGAATAGGGGGTAGGTGGGGTGAAAGCTAAAGGATACGATGTTTCTTTGTGAGATGGAGGTTCTAAAATTGGTGATGTTTATACATGTCTGTGAATATACTAAAAACCGTTGAATTGTACACATTAAACGGATGAATTGTGTAGGAATTATTTTTTAATAAAGCTATTTTAAAAAATTCAGACACTTCACCCAAGAGGAAATCTAAGTGGTCCATAAACATGAGAAGGTCTTTAATCACCAGTCAGAAAAATGAAAATGAAAACCATGCCAGGCCACCTGCAACCTCCCCACCTCCCACCACCATAGTGACAAGCATTTCAAGTGTAGCAGTTCCAGCTGTTGGTGAGGATGTGGAGTAACACTGCTAGGGGTGTTCAGATTATCTGGTGAAACTGAAAAGATGCATGCGACCCAGCAGTTCTGCTCTTAGCTGCATACTCTAGAGATGCTTCTGCCCATTGTGCTGCGAGATGTATACAGGAATGTTCCTAATACCCCCACACTGGAAACAACTCAGCAGTGAAAATGAACTACAGCTAGACAAAATAACATAGATGGAATCTTAAAACTTTTAGTAAAAGAAATGATACAAAAATGGTAGTTTTTTCTCATTTATGTGAAATTTAAGAATAGGTGGTATTGGTTAGGGATGCAGTCTTTGGGATGGCAACTATAAAGAAAAAGTGATTGTGTCAATCAGGAGAGTGATTGTCTTTAGGGAAATGGGGTGCTGATGGGGTGGGGGCACTTTAGGGTTTCTGGAGGGCCACAGTTCTGGTTTTTAACCTGAGTAGTGGTTTTGCAGGTGCTTGCTTTATAGTTAACTGCAATTTTTTCTTTTAATTCAGTTAAAGTTTGGTATGAGAACAAATGTATGGCCAATGAATCCTTTCACATACTCAGTTTACCAAGTTCTTTTTCCTCGTTGTTGTTAATTTAGAGTGGTTACATCAGTTTTTCTTTTCTGGCTACCAAAAGCTTAGGAAAAAGGCAGACTTACAGAAGAAGATTTTAAATGTGGAAATATTTATTGGTTTACAAATCGTTCTAATCACTTATACATGAAAAGCTTTCATAAAATTCAAAAGCAAATTTTAAATTCCAATGAAATATTTCATCCTGTGGTTAGTTGTGAAAGAATGTTTTTAGATTGCTGCATAGAAGCATGTTTAACATGGAAATCAGCTCATGGTTTTAGTTGTTAGGGCTACAAGAAACTGGGGGAGACTTGATTCCAAGAAAACATGTAGTCTATCAGGCTGCTTTCATTTCTCTTAAACAGACAGTGTTCTAAGATGTTTTCAAAAATGAGAAGATACATAATAGATCTGCTTAAGAAGTTTAAAACTTAATCTGTGCTTATTACATGAATATGCTAATATAAAACCAGGCCTTCAATTAGCGTTTCCTTCCTTTTAGAATGGTGTATGTAAACTAATTTCTGACCTGTCAAAGGTTTTTTTCTTAAAATTTAAATTTATAATGTGGTTTGGTTTTTCTTTCCCACTCAAACATGAATTTGGGTAATACCAGAATAAAGCTGAATATATAAATATTATCCAAAATTTAGAACTCTACTGTTAAGAAATCTGTTGACCACATAACCATGTTTCTGAGAAAATACATGATTTTTTGCATCTTTAAAAAAATTAGCACTAAGAAGCTAAGATGAAGTTGTTTTTGTAATTTGATTTTTTTTTCCTTAAAATACTGTTTTGGAGTTAAAAGTTGTAGCAAAACTGGTATAAGAAAGATGTTTTAGGGTAGATATATTTAAGTCTTGTCTCATACTCTATTGACTAAGCTAGCCCGGTGACTAGGGTAGATGTATTTAAAGAATAACTTTTCCCCCTTAAAATCTCAATATTCCACATCCTGTTAGACTTCTTGAGTATTAAATACATCTTCTATCCTTGGTCTTTCTGCATTTAGCTTTTTTGGGAAGTATGTTTTTACCCACAGCATATGGTATGAGCTGCTGATTCAGTATTGAGTGGCTCTTTAAGCTTGTTAGTTACATTCTGCTGATTAAAATGGTATACAGAATAGTCAGGAAAAACCAGTCCCTGGTCTGAAATAAATTAAACAATGTTAATTAGCTTATGGAGAAGAACAAATGAGTAAAGAGAATTTTCATATACAAAGGAAATCTCTGTTATTGTCTTTCTGGATTCAGTGTATTTGGGTTAAGGAGATAGGGTGCGGCTAGAGAAAATGATGAAAA